AGCATCTATGAAATTGATTGCTCCGAAGACCACTGGGTCGAGATGGAAGCGGATTGTTTGCATATGTGAGGAATTGTGTGACATGTCGGCTTTCTCATACCAATGTCACCAAGCAACAAGGATTCCTACACCCGCTGCCCATACCCGAATACCCTATGCAACACCTGACCATGGACTTCAAGGAGTTCCCAAGGGACAAGCATGGATACGACAGCATCTTAGTGTTTATGGACCGACTTGGAAAGAGTTCGGTGACCATACCTTGCTACAAAACCACAACTGCCCGGCAAATAGCACAATTGTTCATCGAATGGATATACTGATTCGGACACACTCCGGAGTCGATTGTAAGCAACCGCGGACTCCAATTCGTATCATCCTTTTGGCAGGAGTTCTGTCCAATTATCGGCATTAAGGTTCAGCTCTCGACTGCCTATCATAAGCAGACCGACGGACAGATGGAAATCATGAACCAATACATCGATCAGAGACTGAGGACTTTCGTATCTCATTACCAAGATAACTGGAGCGACCTCATCCACATAATGGACCGCGTCCAAATGACACTCCTCCACGCATCCCTTGGCATGACCCCCTACTGACTCAAGTACGGAACCGATCCACGTACAAGTTGGGATTGGAACACCCCGAAAAGCACCAACCCCCAGGAGACCCTAAACCGAAATGAAGCCAAGGCGGTTTCAGACCGAATGCATACCGCATGGGTCCACACAATGGAAAACATGTCAAAGGAACAAGAGGAAATGTCTAAGCACACGAATCAATGTCGAAGGGCCATCTGTAATGATGGGTGCACCAGATGTGAGACTCTCGCCACCCAAGGAAGGGATGATTTTACTAAGACAACACACTGTCTTAGGAAAAAAAGCCAAAGGGTCGTAGCTTAGACTATTCCACAATGCAGCAATCAGGTGTATGATGTAGTGGAGTGGTTTAGACAAGTTGTAACAAATGTTGAGTCTGAGAACTCAGGGATAAGTCAGAGGTTAGCACCTCACTGACTTTTCAGAAACAAGGAGTAACAACATCAATGCTTGGAAGATTGGCAAAGACGTGGAAGTATGTGATAGTCGATTTACTGTATTGTCTGCTTGCCCTTTCTTAAGGAAAGGGCAATCCTATTTATGCTAAAAGAGTGTAGTTCTCTCATTTTCCAAGACTTTCCATGACTAACCAGGCTTGCTAACTGTAGTCGATGTAAGAGAATCCCATAGAACCATCTCCTAGGTTCCTAGCCTATAGGAAGTGAAAGGAGGTCCAAGGTTAGAGTACCCCTATAGACAAATTATGTCATAACTTAACCAATCTTGTGGGTAACTAAGGAGCGATGACGTGTAATGAATCATAGATGGTTGTAGAAGCTTTTGGAGCTATTGTTCATGTTCCTAGGCCTCTAGTTAATAGAGATATGTCATGTGTAGTATTAGCCCAGTAACTAAGCAGTGATGTCATGTAATGAATCATATAGGGTTGTAGAGATATGCTATGTGGTAATATCAGCCCAGTAACTAAGGAGTGATGAGGTGTAATGAATCATAGAGGGTTGTAGCAATCGTTGAGTAGTATTGCTCTTGTTGTTGGTGTGACAAGCCAAAATATGTATAGTGACTTGTAGGTTTGAGGAGGAGATTTCTAAGTTTGCTCTTGAGTTTGATAGCAAACTGAGTGCAATGAATGTCAGTATGACAATAAACTCAGAGAGTTTCACACGGAATACCCAGATTTACCAGGTCCACCTCGAGAACTATTTGGATGGGTTACGGCATGGGAGGCAGGTGAGAAACAAAACTACGATCACGGGAGGGAAGACAAAGTGGAAGAAACAGAGTCGTTGCTATCTACGACTCTAAACTAAATACCCTCCGAGCCAGGGCGCACTCACCACCGTAACCCTTGCGGGAGTCACCCTTCCCAAACGTCTCACCGGCGTCGCAACAAGCGGCTACCACCATGAGAGACGAATGGTGGAAGTGACCCCACACGAAGGGCCAGGCCTGAGTCCCCTCCGACACAGGGTCTTCCCGCCTGTAGGCTGCCCCAACTTCCCCATCCTGCCCCTCCTTCCTCCTCCCATCACCCCGAGTCGGAGCGACCGCGGGATTGGCGGCGGTGGGCAGTTTGCCCACAGCAGCCACCAACTCCCCCAAGAGAGCCGGGACGCTCTCCTGTTCCGTCCACAGACGGCGCAGCGACAACCGAATTTGCTGCCCAGAGTCAGCACCGAAACAACACAATGAGAAGGGGGTCTACTCACGGCAAGCCCCGACTCGAGGGCAGCCCGAGTGGCGCGTGCCTTCTCATAGAGGTCACGCTCCGCCTCAGAGCGAAACTTGGGGACACTCTGGGCAGCCAGGAGGGTCACCCGATTTGCCTCAGTGGTGGCGGCGGCGACGTCGGCAGGAACGAGGGGGGTGGCCTTTTCAGCGGTGCGGAGGGCCGCAAACTCTTCCCCAAGGAACTAGGGCAGCTATTTCCACGAAGATGAGCACCAGCCAACCCACCCCAACACCGAATCCCATAAGAAAACCCACCAGGACGCAAGCCGAGTGCTGTGCGGTGCAGTACCCGCACTTGGAGCTGGCAGCGGACCAGACGCACTTGTGAGATTGGATCCCATGAGCTTTTGCCCGAAGGCAGCGCAGACAGAGCACCCGGAAGGCAGCCGAAAGGGCCCCGGAGGGCGTGGGAACTGGCATTGGTGAAAGTTGGAATTCTACGAATCCCGTCAGCCCAGCACACATTGTCACCCATGCACCAATGCGTTCACATCACCTACTCGTACGTGTGGATTGAAAATATACTATCCAATTCATTAGTACACCGTCAAACAATCCACGAGAAGGGGTCACTTACTGTAAACGGAGGTGGTCACTGGCGTTGTTGTTGGAGACAACAAGAAGAAGTGGATGCGGCTGCGTACTTGTCATACTGACATTCGTTGCACTCAGTTTGCTATCAAACTCAAGAGCAAATTTGGAAATCTCCTCCTCAAACCTACAAGTCACTATACATATTTTGGCTTATCACACCAACAACAAGAGCAATACTACTCAACGATTGCTACAACCATCTATGATTCATTACACGTCATCGCTCCTTAGTTACTGGGCCGATATTACCACATAGCATATCTCTACAACCCTCTATGATTCATTACATGACATCACTCATACTACCACATGACATATGTCTACCAACTAGAGGCCTAGGAGCATGAACGATAGCTCTAAAAGCTCCTACGAACCTCTATGATTCATTACACGTCATCGCTCTTTAGTTACCCACAAGATTGGTTAAGTTATGACATAATTTGTCTATGACATAATTTGTCTATAGGGGTACTCTGACCTTGGACCTCCTTTTACTTCCTATAGGCTACGAACCTAAGAGATGGTTCTATGGGATTCTCTTACGTCGACTACAGTTACCAAGCCTGGTTAGTTATGGAAAGTCTTGGAAAATGAGAGAACTACACTCCTTTAGCATAAATAGGATTGCCCTTTCCTTAAGAAAGGGCAAGCAGACAATACAGTAAATCGACTATCACATACTTCCACGTCTTTTCCAAGCTTCCAAGCATTCATCTTGTTACTCCTTGTTTCTGAAAAGTCAGTGAGGTGTTAACCTCTGACTTACCCCTGAGTTCCCAGACTCAACATTTGTTGCAACTTGTCTGAACCACTTCACTACATCACACACCTGATTGCTGCATTGTGGAATAGTCTAAGCTACGACCCTTTGGATCTTTTTCCTAAGACAGTGTGTTGTCTTAGTAAATTCATCCCTTCCTTGGGTGGCTAGATTCTCACATCTGGTGCACCCACCATTACAGTACTCATAGTCTGGCTTACAACAATGAACTCCGAATCGGGTTAGCGTGGCCACTTCTCCTTTCATACGAAGGACAGTCCAACCCGAACGCTTCGCGGATGCGATTCGGAGTCCACTCGGACCACCAGGAAGGTACCCCAGAGTGAACAAAGCACAGCTGAACCCGAACGTTTCGCGGATGTGATTCAGAGTCCACTCGGACCACCACGAATGTACCCCAGAGCGAACAAAGCAAACTCTGGTTTTGCACACACTGAACGGAGTCAATACGGCACAGCTCTAGCAGGACATACAATGCACCTTGCCGACACGGCACATAATCAGGGTTGTTACATATGCAATTACAAACAGAATTCCAGCCAACATATGATGCTCTTCTCATGGATACTAGGAGATGTTGCGGAAATAATTCTCACAGCGTGTTTCACGGACAAAACACTCTCTTAAGAGGGGGGGTAGTGTAAGGATGCTTCCACCCTCAGTGATGGAAGGGATCGGAGTCGGGCAGGTTACGGTCACGTGGGGAGAGTTAGGGCAGGTTAGCCAAGTCAGACCCGTTTCGGGTACTTAAGGGGATTGACCCAACGGGGTTCCTCATCATCTTTTTTGTATCCTTCGTAGTACATGAAGGAGTCCCTCCACCCGGACACACCCTGCAAACTGGCCGTATCCGGCCATGCAGTCAGTGTCACGGTTCACCAAGGCATAGGGCGCCAGTTGGGTATTATGAATTAAATTCAATCTAGAGAAGAAAGGAAAGAGAAGAGGAGCAATCGAGCAGTGGCTCGATCTATATACAGCTATGTTGTTGTGGAGTGAATTCTCTTTAGCAAGACCAGTTCTGAGAATTCACTCCACAACTGAAAACTTCACTCCAACCCTGGAAAGCTCCCACACCCCTGAACCCCCAGTCGAGCTGCAAGGCGCACTTGATATCGTAACAGTCGGTACATGGCGGCTGGACAAGCTCGCCAACCGTAAACCCTATGGCCACCTTAAGGTTCTGCATTTTCACAAGTGTAATGCTGACTTCTAAACGATAGAAGACACAGAGGTTTCTTGCGTAAGGTTGACTTGACAGAGGAGGCAGGGTATTAGACACAAAGGCTTTCCAAGTAACACGTTACAGTATTGTAAAGAATACTATATTGAGTTGCAAAGGGATATCCGTGGATAACATGGGTAAGATAATATCCATGATATTCAATGTTATCCATCACCTGATATTCTGTGGATCCCCAAGATATCCAATGTTATCCATTCCATGACATTTCGTGGATCGCCGTGGATAACATGGAGAACATAATATCCATGATATCCAATGTTATCCATCACGTGAGGTTGCAGCCGTAAGTGCTAGCCATAGCACTAGCACTTAGCCGTAACAACGAGGTTCGGCGGGTCGGAGGAGTCGAGGGCGTGAAATTCCAGGTGGCGGGCGTCAGGGAGGGCAAGGACAGCTGCAAGCTGCAGCGCCATCTGCTGGCTGGGAGTCGGGGAGTTGAGCACCAGGCCCTGTGGGTGACCTATACTTATTGTTAGTATCAATCTACACGGTTTACGGACGGTTTACGGACGGGGGAATGGTGTTACTTACTTACGGCCGTAGCCAGGCGTGCGGGCGTCGCGGGGGACGGGCCCACCGCAGATTCGGTCGCTGAGGAGGCGCACAGGGCCAGGAGGCGCAGACGCGGCCGTGTTGGAGGTTGCGGGGGACGTCAGGGCCGGCGGAGAGGCGCCCGTAGGCTCATCTATCCAGTCGTTAGTATCAATCTATCAATCGGAGGGGGGAGGGGTGTTACTTACCGTTGGCTGTTGGTGCAGCGCCAGCCCTAGGCAGATTCAGAGTTGTCGGAGTCAGGGTCGGGGTCATCGTGGTGGTGGTCGTGGTAGCGGGAGCGGGAGCAGGAGCTTCTTCTTCTATTCACAAGTTAGCATACAGTAATCAAATAACAAAAGGAAACGGGTTTACTTACCACGAGGATCCTCATTGAGGCCAGAAGCCTCAGTGGTGGGGGCGGGGGCGGACATCTTCACCGTTGTTGTTATAGGAAAGAGAAAGTGGAGGGGTTACGCGTCGTAGATCACGTGATGTAACGCCAAATCATATGACCACTTACGGCAGGCAGAGTCACAAACTGGCGCCTACGGCGCCGCTGCACAATACTCGTATTCAATAAGACGATATTGAACTAAGGGATGGATTACATCGTCTTATCGAGACTCTACTGTAGGGATAAATCTCCCAATTACACAGCCTCACCATCAATCCCGCCAGCGTCTAACCATGAACCACAATGTGGAATTGGTTTCAGCCTTAAATTCAGGGTCGACCACTAAGTTAATCTAAAAAAAAATATTCGCCTCGGTTCGTTACTATTTATAGGCAACCACCTCTTGGCAAGCGACGCGTTGAGAAAAGCCAAAACCGGCGCCAAGCCTTCCGGGGTTTGACCCACGTTAAAGTATAAATTACCTCTCATGATTCTATCATTTTCTCTTCACAATCCGAATCAACTCCATTCTCTTCTCTGAACCTCATTCTATTTGCCTTGTCTTTGATTTATCCAAAATCTCAGCAACAATGTCTTTCTTCTCAAAAATGGAGGGTATGTGTAGAAGCGGTGCGACGGGAATCCTCGTATTGCTAGGAATCCTCGTATCGGTAGATCACCCTTGATACGTAGCATCTCGGATGGACGAAAAGACCTCCCGATTAGGTAGTGAGGGTAGTGAGGGAATAAACTGTTGGACAGAGGAGGGTGAGGCTGCTGGATCCTGGTGGTTCCTGAGGGCCGCACAGCTAGTTCTGATGAAACTGCAGGCAGGGTACGAACTAGTACGTACTAGTATGACCAAAAGCTTGACCAAAAGCTTGAACATCGCCAATCTTTGCACTACAGCCACAGTCGGTCGGTTGCAAAGGAAGGCGGCTTCCGCGCGCTTGGGTTTCTTATTCCACCATCACAGTCTAGCGAGTAGAAAAGTGTGCGACAAGAGTATATCCCCAAACATGGCCTGACCATTCTCGACTACAGGGATGTCCGATGTTCGTACCCGGTCTAGATTGGTTTGTCGCCCGACTTCGCCTGGCGGGGCGGAGCGCACGCTAGTGGCAATGGGGCTGTCGTTTTCCCCACAATGTGCTTCTACCCCGACTTTTCGCTTTCAGCTCTTCCAACCTTTCTTAAGGGACACATTCCTTTCGACTTTTTTTGTTTCTTTCTTTTTGTCTTTTTCGTTGCACATGCCATTGGTACCTAATTATAGGTAATACGAGGACTCTAGGCGTCAATAAAACCACAAAACCAGCCATATTTCATGATCCCGATCGCTCCTCTCTTTATTTCTTATAACTCAGGCCTCCTGGCCGTACCGCTCTCTAAATATGCACCACCACGGCAGCTTTCATTTCAGCGAGATCATCAATCAACTCATCTCCGACATTGCACCGTTCTCCGGCCTCATCCTAACAATAACCGCTTGCGTCCTCGCCATCATCCGCCTCTACCTCCTCGACCTTGTCATCGTCCCTAAAGCCTACTCACCCCAAATCCTTCAGTCTCTCAGTAACGGCCAACGTCGCAGCTTCGTTAACCACCACGTCGCCGCAGGCACCAAAATCCTCCTCCTCATTGTAACGGCCTACCCCTTACTCGCGATTTTCACCGGCCATGCAACACCACACACACATTTCGTTAAGGGCTCGTCAACGACCCTCGGAGATGTCATGATCGTCTCTTCTCAGATCTTCACCGTCATGTATATCTTCGAGCTCTTCTACCGCGACAAGGTCTCTCCGATTAGCTGTGCCCATCATGTTGGCGCGATTATTATTGCGCAGGCAGCTGTGGCGATGAGTATCAATTTCGATCATGAAAGCGATGCTGTGTTCGAGTTTCTTCTTTGTTTCGTCTGGGGTACGTCACATCCCTGCCCTGTCATCCTTCAAACATCCTAATACGTAGATGTCTCATCGTTATTACAGGAGCCTTTGACGTATTCGCCGAACTCTGGCCTCATATCGCTATGATCATCTACCGCATCCACAACTCTAACCACCTGCTGCTCTCCCGAATCCTATACACGACCATGGCCCTCGAGCTCCTCGGAACCATAATTGAAACAGTGATTGTCATGTGGTTGTTTGGAAGCCTTTGGGACAAATGGACGCTATCACTCAAAGTCGCGACACCGATTCTGCATGTGCTTTTCTCTGCGGCGCAACTCTGGGGGGCGTTGATTTTTTACAAGATGGGTAAGGAGCAGCAGTTGAAATACGAAAAGGATACAATGGTTAGTCCAGGGGAGGAATGTTAAGAACAATCACGACTTGCCATTATTCCATATAGCGAGGTAATAAGTCCTGACGGTTCACCACTCAAGAGATTGATGGGGCCTGGCTAGGCAGTTGATGACCTACACAAAGAGCGGAGTGAAGAATTATGATTGAGCCTTCATGGCAGAATATCTTCTTATGTGCACACAAAGTTAATGAGAGGGATATTCGAGAATCAATACAGCTTTTTTAAAATATCAACTTCGCCACGTTAAGCCTACAAGTCTTGAGTGCAAGTAATGACCTGAATATATCTTTATATAAAAACTCCGCTACTATATTCTCAATGGCACACCTAAGGCTGGGCCAACAACCTAGCTCGTACTCCCGCCGGCTTCGGAACCGAAAGCTCCCATTTGCTGAGTACTGCTATGCATATTGCAAATGGAGTTGTAGTGAAGCAACCATTTCAAATGGCATCTTGAAATCTAAAAATGAGATGCGGGCTCCTTACTTTTAGCTACACGCTTGCTATCGCAGGTTACTATCCATTCTGCGTAGGCGATGAGACCCTTTCTCCATCACAAAGGATGCAGCAATGGATGACGAAGTCCGCTACTCAATCACACTGACAAGCATCTTAAGACTTCCGAAAACAAGGAATGTCTACATCCCTTATGTCACGTACCACTCATGAACGCTTCAGAGACTCCCGGGCCCATTTTCAGGATGCTCATTATATTGAAGAACCACGTTCAAACTGTGTGAGCAGGAAACGGAAGAGCGAAGATGATGAGGAAAGTTTGCAAGACACGAAGGGCGAGGCTTTAAAATATGTGAGCAAAAAGGCAAAGAATGAGGATGAGAAGGCAGAGGGGGGAAATGCGGGACCTACCACAGTCATAAGATAAACAATACTCCGTATTGTCGTTTTCAAACTGCGATTTAAACTGTGGCTCAAATTGCGCTCGAGGTTGCGGTTGCCAATTGTGGCAGACGATGTTGTGAGGAAAGCCATTGACGATGTTGGTGTGGTGTAAATCGTCGTAACTCAGAAACTAAGATTACATTCTTCCCAAGTTGCGAATTCAACTGTGGCTCAAATCGCGCATTGCATCTATGCCCGTGAGTGACAGTGGCAATAAGCTGATAGAGATAAATGGACTACAATTTTGGAAAGAGCAGTTACCACCTGATGATACCAGTGATCACAGTGGTCCCACTCAATCTTCGCTGCAAAACGCGTAAGTAATTCACCTACGGCGGATTAGTAGTTGGTTGGGCGACCACTAGCGAATACCCACTGTTGTATGATTTTTGTTATTTTTGACGTTTTATAAGTTAAGGGTAAAAGAATAAATTACCCTGTATAACAGCGTAAAAGAATAAATTACCCTGTAGCTAGTAAAAAAGAATAAACTACCGCCCCACACCGCCCGGAAAGTGCCGCAACCGCCAACCTCGCTGTCGCTACCTCGGTGGCCATAGCCACCATCGCCACCACTCCCCAAAACCACCCCATCTCTCTGCCCACGCCCTTCTCCGTAGCCCCCGTAGCCCCCATAGCCCCTCTATGATGCGCATTTGTCCTCAAACATGAGGACGAATGCACGTCCGGCTGTTATGGCCGTCCTCGCCACAGGTTCCACACCTACGGCGCTCATTTTCGCCAGGGAGGTGCAGAGGCAGCGGTGCCTCAATGCCCTCTTGCGTCGCTCCACGGCGGGCACGGGATTTCTCCAGCCGAATCCTCTCTTTCTTAGGCCTCCCGCGGGGGACCCTTGTCATTGGTGGGCTGCAGACATCGTCGTGTGCAGCTGCTAAGCCTAGTATGCTCACTGGCGGCAGCGGTGTATGATAGGTTGCTCTCCACGTCGCTGTGGAGAGCACCTCGGGCATATAGTCGGCAACAGATAACTGTTGCCGATATATGACAGAGAGGGCGTGCCCACAAGGCACGCTATTGCTTTGAAAACGGTGGCATTCGCAAGAGCGCGCCACTAAGTCAACAAGGATAATCCGCCCATCGGCCTCCATCACCCTCCCAGCAAGAGGCGTGGACAACTGGGTCGTATGGCCCATTGCCCATCGCTTTCCAGTTAACAAGAGGCCTGTTGCCCAACTGGTCCAAAGCCGGTTGTGTTCGATATCACTTAGAGCGGCAGCGAGCCGCTCTGAGCGCTGCTCCATAGCTCGATGCCAGAGGGAGTCTAGAAGCTCTATTGTTGGGAGCTCTCGCTCCAGCTTTAGTCCTCCATTTAAGGACTCAACAATGTTGCTTGTATCGTGGCCATATCTGCGGCCTACGAACAAAGCTTCAACCCAGCACTCTGGGTGGTGGTCACGGCACCATTGGGCGGCAGAGGGCTTCACCTCTGCCATTTTACTTAATGCTCGCTCATATGCGTGGCCCGTTTTCGCACGGGCGACGCTCCAAAAGTGTGGTGCAAGGCCCTTTCCATGGGCCTTGCAAAAGCTCTCTTTTAAGTGGTGGCAGCACCATGCAACCGCCACATGAGGACCAAGAACCCTCTCAGCCTCAAGAAGGCCCTTGTCTCTATCAGAGACAAAGGTTGATGGCTCCATTGTGATCTCAACAAGAACACGACGGAGATGGCGAAAGAACCACTCCCATGAGGAGCGGTTCTCAGATTCCACCACCGCCCATGCTAGGAGGACGTTGTGGCCGTTGGCATCAATGCCAACAGCAAGTAGTAATGTCTGGACGAACTTTCCTTTTAGGAAAGTTCCGTCAACACCGACAAAGCGGCGGCAAAGCCGGAACGTCTCAGAGGCAGTCGGAGGGGCCACGAAGATCCTTGTGAACTGCTCTGTACGTAGATCTATAACAAGATCTATGTACGCTCCTGGACATGCGTCTAGGAGCCTCCTCTCATAGGCAGGGAGAAGCTCAAAGCTCTCCCTATGACGTTGAATGTCGTCGCCTAAAGCACGGCTTCATGCTTCCTGGGCGACCTTATATGAGATATGCTCTGCGAATTGCACGCGGAGCATATCTATGATCTGCTCAGGCTTCGTGGCCTGAGCAACCCTCATATGACGGGCAATAGCTCCATCGAGCCATTCCCGTCGCGAGGATGAGCGATGGGTGCTCAATGGAGCACCCATGCATATGTGCTCCGTCTCTTGAATTGAGAGACGGCACATACCTTCAGCAGGAGAGGTGCCGTTGCACCTCCAAGTGCAGCCAGTTGTCCCCTTCGCTGCGCATACGTATGTGCTAGAGCGGGCCTCTTTCCGCACGATGCGAAAGGAGAACTTCTCCTTCACGGCCCAGTCGTGGAGGGCGAACTCGAGGTCCTCAAACGACGAGTACTCAGTGCCGGCAGTTGGCACGGCCAACAAGTCGATGGCAGCCATTCTCTTGGCTGGCCTCAGCGAAGAGGGCTTTCGTGGCCTCGTCAAAGGAGGGCTTTGAGCCTCGGAAGGGGAGGGCTTTCGGCGACGGCGAGGTCGTGACAGCAAGGTCAAGGCTGACGTTACTTTGTAGGGCGGTGAGGGCGGAGTCACGATTACGTAAATTAGACATGGTAAAAACTTCTTTTACCCCTGTTATACAGGGTAATTTATTCTTTTACCCATAAGTTAATCGTCGTGACCAACCTTGAGCTTCGCTTCGCTCAAGGTTGGAGTAAGCGAGTTGCGGCACTTCACGTGAGAGGAAGCGGGTTGCGGCAACTCACAACTTGCATATGTTCACCGCTACTCTTTACCAAAATCTTGAGCATTCCCACTCATAGTATTTTATATAGTAATTAAATGTAATTCATTAAATGGAAGAGTCTCCTCTATCAAATGCCTGTGAATGACTAGCAGCAAACCCCTCTGACTCTGCAGGTGTTGCTAGTCAGATTTTTAAGGTCCCTAGGTCAACTATACAGTCAAGAATCGCCCGAGCAGCCCAGCAGACGAAGCGGCCTTATGGGGGTCAGAATAAGGTGCTTTCTACTGCTTAGACAGAGACCCTTAAAAAGCGGATTTTAGAGCAGTATTACCTAGGGCTTGGAGCGAATAGGAGTATGGTGTTTACTGCAGTATGCCTTTTGAATTGGAATTCCTAGAGGTGAGAGAATTATAGTACCACGAGCAGCAAAGAAGCTATATACTCCAAGAACTGGGAATCGTATGTCTTTACAGTAATAGAGACAGTATCTGCAGCTGGAAAAGTGATTCCACCTGTACTTATCATTCTGGGGAAATGTCATAATTTGTCTATGACATAATTTGTCTATAGGGGTACTCTGACCTTGGACCTCCTTTTACTTCCTATAGGCTACGAACCTAAGAGATGGTTCTATGGGATTCTCTTACGTCGACTACAGTTACCAAGCCTGGTTAGTTATGGAAAGTCTTGGAAAATGAGAGAACTACACTCCTTTAGCATAAATAGGATTGCCCTTTCCTTAAGAAAGGGCAAGCAGACAATACAGTAAATCGACTATCACATACTTCCACGTCTTTTCCAAGCTTCCAAGCATTCATCTTGTTACTCCTTGTTTCTGAAAAGTCAGTGAGGTGTTAACCTCTGACTTACCCCTGAGTTCCCAGACTCAACATTTGTTGCAACTTGTCTGAACCACTTCACTACATCACACACCTGATTGCTGCATTGTGGAATAGTCTAAGCTACGACCCTTTGGCTCTTTTTCCTAAGACAGTGTGTTGTCTTAGTAAATTCATCCCTTCCTTGGGTGGCTAGATTCTCACATCTGGTGCACCCACCATTACAGGAAAGTTCATATGGATTCATGGTACCCTGAGAACCTCAAGAGTAGTGAGCTGATACTACTCTCTGAAACTGGCTATTCGAACAGTGAGATTGCCTTATGGTGGCTACAGCATTTTGCAGAGCATACTGCTCAGTATGATGATGGGAGTGGGAATCCCAAGGTTCTACTCCTTGATTCTCATATAAGCCATACGAGCGATGATTTCATCATTGCAGCAGATGAATTGAACATTATCTTATTCGCCTTTCCTAGCCATCTTACACACGTTTTACAGCCATTAGATGTGGGATTATTCCAACTATATAAGCACTGGCACTGAGTGTTACGGTATCAAGTGCGCCTTGCAGCTCGAGTGGGGGTTCAGGGGTGTGGGGAGCTTTCCGGGGTTGGAGCAAAGTTTTCAGTTGTGGAGTGAATTCTCAGAACTGGTCTCACTAAAGAGAATTCACTCCACAACAACATAGCTGTATATAGATCGAGCCACTGCTTGAGTGCTACTCTTCTCTTTCCTTTCTTCTCTAGATTGAGTTTAATTCATAATACCCAACTGGTGCCCTATGCCTTGGTGAACCGTGACAACTGGCACTGAAGAGGTGGTGGTGGCAGGCCAGCTCCAAGAGCTAGACCTGGTATTCCTCTAGCGCCAGGTGGAGGAATCGAAGAAGGGGCAAGCCGAAGCCGGGCCCGCCTTCAGTATGGGGGCGAGCTCATTGCTGCCGAAGCTCACAAGCTTTGGGCCCGTAAAGCTGAGCTTCTGGCTCAGAAGCTCGAAGACAAAGAAGCCCGGAAACAGCGCCAGGCCAGAAACTGATCCTGGAAGCAGCTTTGCCAGGCTGGAATTGAGGCCCGGAAGGAAGAGTGCCTATGGAAGAAGGCAGTGTCCCAATTCCGTAAGGAAGGCCTCCCAATTCCTCCTGAGTTTGAGGAGCCAATTTGGGACCCAGAAGCCACTGAAAGCGAGTGCGAAAGCGAGTATGAAAGCTGTGAGAGTGAGGGTGGGAGTGGGAGTGGGAGTGGGAGTGGGAGTGGGAGTGGGAGTGGGAGTGGGAGTGGGAGTGGGAGTGGGAGTGGGAGTGGGAGTGGGAGTGGGAGTGGGAGTGGGAGTGGGAGTGGGAGTGGGAGTGGGAGTGGGAGTGGGAGTGGGAGTGGGAGTGGGAGTGGAAGTGGGAACGAGGAAGTGATAATTTCGTAAAATAGAATATTTAGGTAGCTTTACATACAAATTATTATGGTGGGGTACTTACAGTAGCAAATTTTTGAGTTGCTGCAACTCGCTTCCTCTCATGTGAAGTGCTGCAACTGGCTTACACCAACCTTGAGCTTCGCTCAAGGTTGGTCATGACGATTATTCTGTGCCGGGAATCACAATGAGGAATGAGAATCGTGTTTTCAGCCACACCCATGACTAAGCCCTTGTACCAAACCAACATGTGATGCCCCACACTCCTGTAGATCGCAATTGAGCCTCAATATCAAAATCCGAAGGTGAATTGAAGCTGTAGCCCATACACTTCAATGCTTGATGCACATATACCGAAGGAATCGTGCCACATTATGGAAGTACTGGCTCCTATTAAGCAATCCATAGACTTGGTGTTTGTTAAGGTACGGTGAATTTGATGACAGGTTTCCTACGTTCCTATTGTAGTTTTCACTTCTTACCAAAGTCCTATTGAAGGTCTTAAATTCACTCGGTACTACACGTACGTTTACTCTCTTTGTTCGGTGCTGTCGAATTACCATTCCATATATACAAACTCCGATTTTCAAACTCCTTCTTTCCTCTTCATCCTCTTTACAACCATAAGTCACCCCTCCTTGGGCGCAACTCCCCCCCCTTCCTTCAGTTGCCCTGAAGCTCCCCTTTCATTCAGAAGCATCAAAGCTTCTCTCCCCTTTAGTTGCACCGAAGCTCCTTCCTTCCTTCATGTTCTACTCTTACCGAACCTTTTACTGATATTCACTTATAGCGAACACCCCTCCCAACCTTCGTTCACACCGCAGCAATGTGGACGTTCACCTTCTTCGACAAGGTCAAAATGACTGGCTGGGATGCCAGGGTTCTCACGACCCGAACGAATAGGTAAGTCTCCCCTTCAGTACTGTCAAAAATACACCTCTAAATTCCTCGTTGTGAGCGCAAAGTCACCTGGTTCTCTTAGTGGGGGAACTCTTCTTTCCCATCTGGGGATGGCCTCGACCCCGAGGAGAAGCTGCAGTAAGTCCTCTCTCCTTCCCTTCCTCCTTCGGTACTAATGAAGAAATAGCCAATACGCATGGACCCGCTGTGCAAATGGCACCATTCAGAAGAGCATCTCAAAGTGCTACAACTGTAAGTTTTCCCCTTTCCTTCGTTCTGGTTCCATGTTTACTATTGAATCTTCGCTGTCACCGAAACATAGGCCGCACTGTGAACCCTGTGATCCCTGGCAACAAGGATCACAAGTACGGTATGGTCAACAATACTACCACTTTGTTTCGATACTGACGAAGGAATAGCTGCTCCGGTCCGTCTCAACGATGCTGATCTGATGGGTTGCGGTTGTATCTGGGAGGTATGTTTCGGTTATACTATTAGCTTTGAGAAAAGCTTCGGTACTAACGAAGAATAGGAAGCTGCGATTGAATTTTGTTTCTTCACATACGAGCTTGAAGTTCTCTTTGGGCAAGCCAATTGCGCCAATGAATCGGTAAGTTGTTTCGTTTCCCCCAATACAAATAGATACTAACTTCGGTGGTACCGAAGGCACCAAAGTGTTTGACGTTCTGGATGCGTCGCCAGATCCTGGATTTTATCCGAATCCTCATGCCCGGCTTCATTGTGAAGGCAAGTTTCCCCGCTTCTTTCGGTGTAATTCCTTCCTTCCTTCTCTTCCTTCGGTACTAACGAGACAATCTAGCATCTCTTTAGCTACGGTGTACGCGAAGCTCTCCTCAGTAAGCTTGTTAACAACCACAAAAAGGCCAAAGCTGTGAACAAACTGAAGACTTTTGAGTATCTTGCGACAGTAGCGAACAATGCTGTGATGGCTTCGGGCCCAAATGCTGGGTTATTCCTAAAAGATTCGGTCATGGCGAAGGAAGGAGAGCGCGATTCGGAGGACTCGAAAGATGATAGTGATGCTGCACCCCTATTGAAGAAACCTTGCAGCCCAACCACAAAGGCTGCCCGTCAAGCTGCGAAAGCTGCTAGAGATGCAGCTGAACCTTCGGTCAAGCTGAAGCAACCAATTAAGACGCCTCTTGCAAAGAAGCGCAAGTATACGTCCAAAATGAAGACTGTCACGAAACCTTCAGAGGGACCGCATGGAGATGACGACAACACTCCTGGTGCTGGCACAGCTATGGCTGTTTGATTCGGTCGTGTCGAATCCCAACTTGTTATCTGGTTGAGTAGTCATAAGTGCGTAAATCCTCAATAGCAACGGACTTTTTGCTTTTCTTTTCGGTACTGGTTATTTGCAATGCATATGTTCGGTGGAAGTGCAGGATATGGTGTTCTTTTGGTATATGCAGGGCATATGTGCAATGGTTCGGTGAGACCATAGGAGATCTGCATGCATTACTGGCGCATTATACCATGGATATAGGGAAACCCATCACTATCAATGGCAGTAATGATATATATGAAAAGTCTTCGGAAGAAGAAGGTCTCTACTCTACTCCTTCGGTACAACCTATAGAAAGAGCTAATAATAAGATAGACAAGAGCTGGAGAGGTTGCTACAAGTGCTTGAGCAATTACAAAGGAAGATTTGCGGAAGCTATGGGTTTTCAACAAATAATTCCCCTGTCTTTCATTTGGAGAGAAGTTAGATAACTTTAATGATGAGGTTTACTTCTCATCTTGGGGTGGTGGGTGCGTCCGGGCTATGCTCCAGTGCATTTACCTTCTCTCCTTCCTATGTTTATTATGATTTGATGAGGTGCTACAGATACAACTACATCATATTACAGTTGAGAACGAAGCTTAGGCTGCGCACTGGGTACTCACGAGTCGAGTAGTAGAATTTTTACTCACCCAGCTGAGTTACTCACTCATGTCCCGAGTATTGTTAAATGAGGATTACTTACTTGCTGAGTACCTAGTATGGGTCTTGGCAACTCAGTTATATCACGTGTTTGATTAGCCATTACTTATGTTAAAAACGGGGCACGACTTCATTGATCAAGACGCCATAACTCCATAACTCCATAACTCCATTCCCATATTGTTGATGTCCTATTCCACACTATAACCTTTGGCCTTTAGGTACCAGGTTACCAGAAGGTTGCCAGAACTTATCTGACCTTCATTCCTGGGTGAGACACATTTCCATCGATTAAGCCCACAGCTCCATGATTAAACATCATATCCCGCAAACGCCGAACCAATATCATATCCTTTGCCTGAATTGTCACTCTCTTCGCATGAATAGCAAGAAGGTTTGTCACTATAACTGTTAGTATGTCCCTGTCACTATGTTTAAACATCATACTCTCAAATTCTCGAATGAGGAAGCATTCAGCAGCTTCTTGAAGAGCTAGGATAGCAGATTGCTGGAAGCAAAGATTGGACTTGAAGTCTTCTGCAATTTCCCTAACAAGATGCTGGAATGGGAGCTTTGGGATAATTAGGCTAGTATCGAGTTGCTGTCTTCTGATATCGTGGAGAGCCTTGGTGCCTATATGTTTATTAGAGAGTTCTGGTAATCCTCTGGTAATCCTCTGGTAATCCTCTTACCAGACTTTGCACGGCGCGTGGCCTTCGCATGATTGTTGCTAGCTTGAGATGAGCGAACTGGAGCTTTTCTTGCTGTGCCCACGGCCTTTTCCTTTCCCTTTCCACCAAGCCCAGAGCCAGCCCGTAATCCAAGTGGCATCCTTGGTGCTGTGCCGCCAGTTGATCTCCTAGCAGTTTGCTTGGTACAAGCCATTTGCTAATATCAAGGTGAGTTAGTGAAGTAAACACAAGACAAAGAAGTAGATCAAAAGATATGTGTACTTACAGTGAGTTTGTAGGAAGAATATTGCAGAAGAAGAGTATAGAAAAGAGGTAGAGGTTGAAAGGTATGTGTTTTATATGAAGGTACGCGTTGTGGTGTTGCTTTTGGAACAGTAATTCTTTGTAGGTGAATATTCCTTCACGAATATTTTTGTTTGCAACTTTAAAATAACCATGACCTTAGAACCACCTTCCTTGGTTACTCTCTGATCTACACATTCTTCTTCCCTTTTGCGCCTTCACCTCTTCACTAGGACTTCAAGTAAGTTTATTATCTTGATTCTATAGCCAGAACTTCTGGCGATCTTCTGCTAATCACGTGTTTAGTATGGCGAAACGCAAGGCACCTGAAGAACTCTCCACTAATGTGAATACTATCAAAGCTCGCAACCGCGTCTCCAACCTTACTGAAGATGAGAAGGCTGTTCACTTAGCACTCAAGGCTGACCATGGTGATCTGAGCTACTACTTAAAGAAGTTATATAAGTCTGCAAAGTATATCGCTGCCTCTACTGAAGACAAGACACGTCTACAGAATGAATTGAAGGTTGAGCGTATTCGTGTTCGGTAAGTTCCTTCTGGTAATCTCTGGTAGCCTCAATCTAACTATAAACAGGACTGAGAAGGGTACCCATGCATCTTGCATTGCGAATCAGAAAGTCAAGAATATTAGCGCCTCTTCTTCTTCTCCACAAGCACCACCATCTACTCCGCCACAACTTCTGTCTGAGCTTGCTGCATTTGAGGGTATCTCAAGTATCCCAATCGATGACGATCATAACAGCGAATGGGAGGATACTGAGGTTGAAGACGATTTGGAGTTGGAGCTTATGTTACGGCGCAACGATATTTTAAATCACGAGGCTGTTCTACCAGATGAGCTTTCCGATGAAGAGATCGCTAGCATCCAGGCTCTCTTAACTCAAGCACGCATTGATGTATGCTACCTCATAGTCTGGTAATCTTCTGGTAATACTAATAGTTGATACGCACATGAAGAGTCCAATTTCCGCAAGTGGCAACATTTCTGGGATAGATGTATCCGCTCATATACGAGAAAGGCTGGAAAGCTGAGAAAGAAGCCTGAGCGTCTCTTTGAGTATATGCCGTGGATTGATGTAGAGGAAGGGTACGTCTCTAATTATCCTAGCAATCTTCTGGCAATACTAATTGTTTATTATAGCACTTTTCACGAGGTTATCCCACCACATAAATATTTCTGTTTGTACGAGCAGCAGTTTGGACAAACTTTACAGCTTGGAAGTTTGGAAAGTGGGCCCAATTACCAGGACCTGCGCAGTGGTACCCAAAGTCTTACAATCTTGTCGACAATGGATGGTTGCAAGTCTCCACTCATAGTTCTAGCTTCAAAGAGGCATTCTTACTTGTCTACTCTAAGAAGTTTGATAAGGAAAAGTGGGCTAAGGTATCAGCTGCGCAGGATATGTTGTTCCTGGAGCTAGAGTAGAGGAGAACTTGAGTTTGCTAAAGTTATAGCGCTGGAGTTACGAAGATTGCATGGGATTCAACGAACCGGAGTTCTCAATACTGGAGAAGTTATCATCAAGGAGCAGGCCGGCTTTCTGGAGAACCATGTGTCATTTGTACTTCTTGTTTGAAGGCCCTTACGCATCCTGCAATCAAGTCTGCTGGCCCAAAGTCTATGGCAACACATCTTGCATCGGACATTTGCAAAAAGAAGTCACGGATGGGTAAGGATAGTCTCTATCAAATGCGAATCAATCAAATGCGACCTCAACAAGTAAGGATTACCAGATTATTACCAGAATCATGTAGGTTAATATCTATAATAGGATCATATTCTCACACAAGATACATTTTATGAACAAGTTCTATACACAGTTCTCTCAACTCATAGCTCATTCTGCTCAGTCGAGGATACTGAATGGAAAAGGCTTGCTATCTTACAGAATCCTCACTATCCACTACCCTCAGCAACAACTATTCGAAACCTCTTAACAACAAAGCTCACACAAATCGAAGAAGAGATGCTACAAGATGTTGTTCCTGGTTCAAAGATTGCATTATCGCTCGACTGTTGGTCAAGTGTTACTCGACTTTCGTTTATGGGTGTTATTGCATCGTTTATCGACCGTCATTGGAAAATGCAAGAGGTCTTGATTGGCTATGAACCTATATATACAGAGCATACTGGTGCTGAGTTATGTGGAATACTTGAAAAAGTTATCACAAGGCAGCATTTAGAACGACGAATTATATCCATTACAACTGATAATGCGTCAAACAACACTTCGATGATGAGAGATGTGGAAATAATGCTTGATAGTATTGCAGACAACGAGCATTTTATTGGAGGAAAGGTACAACACATACCCTGCCTAGCTCATGTTATTCAACTTGCCCTTACTGCTCTCCTTGGCCGAATCCGGATTATGCCAACAAATCAAGAGATCTTAATGAACTGGGAAGAAGAGAACCAGATGGAGGGCCTTGCAAAGTTACAATAAGACAAGGGTATCAGATTTACACTTGGAAAGGTATATATTCTCTTGTTAGTTCTGGTAATCTTCTGGTAGCTTTTTCTAATATCTCATAGCTCCGGAAGCTCACTATCTTTGTTAATTCAAGTCATACTCGAAGGAACAGGTTTATGACTTTGCAAAAGGCAAACATGAACCGGGGTCAACCATCTCAGAGACTTCTTCACTTATTCAAGATGTACCAACTTGATGGGATTCAACATGCCATATGCTTCTGTGAGCACAGCAACTCAAGTTAACAATCAATCAATATACCCGAGGCGATCATGGTGCTCATATGTTTAGACTTAGCGAGGTAGAATGGAAGCACATCGAATACATCATTGATCTTACAGACCATTCAACTTCTTTACAACAAACATTGGATCGTCAGCTGGACCTACTGTCTGCTATACACTCAGAGTATATCAAAAACTCTTATCAACGCTTGAAGGAACTCAGCACCGGCTACAGCATAAGACATATCCATGGGTAGCAAAGATAACTTTAGCAATCGATGATGCAGAGAAGAAGATTAAGAAGTATTATAACAAGCTATACACAAATACTGGATATATCTTCACATTTGTGTAATGTGGGTGCACCAGATGTGAGAATCTAGCCACCCAAGGAAGGGATGATTTTACTAAGACAACACACTGTCTTAGGAAAAAGAGCCAAAGGGTCGTAGCTTAGACTATTCCACAACGCAGCAATCAGGTGTATGATGTAGTGGAGTGGTTTAGACAAGTTGTAACAAATGTTGAGTCTGAGAACTCAGGGATAAGTCAGAGGTTAGCACCTCACTGACTTTTCAGAAACAAGGAGTAACAAGATCAATGCTTGGAAGATTGGAAAAGACGTGGAAGTATGTGATAGTCGATTTACTGTATTGTCTGCTTGCCCTTTTGTAATGGTGGATGCACCAGATGTGAGAATCTAGCCACCCAAGGAAGGGATGAATTTACTAAGACAACACACTGTCTTAGGAAACAGAGCCAAAGGGTTGTAGCTTAGACTATTCCACAACGCAGCAATCAGGTGTGTGAAGTAGTGAAGTGGTTCAGACAAGTTGCAACAAATGTTGAGTCTGGGAACTCAGGGGTAAGTCGGAGGTTAACACCTCACTGACTTTTCAGAAACAAGGAGTAACAAGATGAATGCTTGGAAGCTTGGAAAAGACGTGGAAGTATGTGATAGTCGATTTACTGTATTGTCTGCTTGCCCTTTCTTAAGGAAAGGGCAATCCTATTTATGCTAAAGGAGTGTAGTTCTCTCATTTTCCAAGATTTTCCATGACTAACCAGGCTTGGTAACTGTAGTCGACGTAAGAGAGTCCCATAGAACCATCTCTTAGGTTCGTAGCCTATAGGAAGTAAAAGGAGGTCCAAGGTCAGAGTACCCCTATAGACAAATTATGTCATAGACAAATTATGTCATAACTTAACCAATCTTGTGGGTAACTAAAGAGCGATGACGTGTAATGAATCATAGAGGTTCGTAGGAGCTTTTAGAGCTATCGTTCATGCTCCTAGGCCTCTAGTTGGTAGAGATATGTCATGTGGTAGTATGAGTGATGTCATGTAATGAATCATAGAGGGTTGTAGAGATATGCTATGTGGTAATATCGGCCCAGTAACTAAGGAGCGATGACGTGTAATGAATCATAGATGGTTGTAGCAATCGTTGAGTAGTATTGCTCTTGTTGTTAGTGTGACAAGCCAAAATATGTATAGTGACTTGTAGGTTTGAGGAGGAGATTTCTAAGTTTGCTCTTGAGTTTGATAGCAAACTGAGTGCAACGAATGTCAGTATGACAATTTGCTAGTATATTAAATCCTAGTGTGAAGCTCTCACACTTTAACAAAAAGGTTTGCAAGCTTGACTTTTCAATACGAAATTGGGAGACAGAGTTTGAACAACAGTTTAAGACTCTTTATAAAGAGCAGTACTCTACAGTGCGAGTTGCGAGTCAATTAGGATTACGAGATGCAGATATGGATCCATTAGCCTTAGTATTGCAGCAAAGTCAGACATTAAATGGGACTCGGGGCCAGAGAGAGGAATATGTAAATGAGGCTGATCTCTTTGGCAACAAAAGGAAGAGCAATTTCCTGGTCTATCAGCAATGGCTCGTGATATACTTTGTATTCCTGCTGCTGAGTCTGGAGTTGAGCGAGTCTTTAGTGCCGCAAGGGATGTGTGTGGCCACCGACGTGGCCAACTTAATCCTGAGACGATTAAGAGTATTATGCTTGTATATTACTCTCAACAATACAAGAATCGTCAATGTCATCGTGACAAGCTTGCAGATATGATGGACATCGTTGATATGACTGAGGAGCAAGTAGAAGAAGAGTACGACAACGGATGTGCAATTCTATCAAGTTACAATATATCAGCGATGAAGAAGAACTACAATCAAATACACATATCCGAGAGACATATTCAAAGGTACAATATCCTCCGTTTAACCCTCAGCGGCCACAGCAACAGCAAGACTTATCACAAGCTGCACATGAAGAACGACAAATGCGCTACCAACAAGGTGAAGAAAGAGATAGGGCTGACCGTCTTAACGAGACCTTATACGACATCCTAGATGACGATATCCTAGATAACGAAGATATAAGAGAAGATGGTAATAATGAGGAGCCTATACTTCCAACTATTTATGCAGATGAAGATAAGGATATGCTGTCCTCGCCACCAACGCCTATCCAACATGCTCGGAAGACTGGAAGAGATTTACTTGATATCTTTCAAGCTACTCGTCAAGACCCCATAAATACTTTAGGTATTAGTAGGTCTGGCCGGCCTCATCAAGCAAGGTGGAGAGATGTTCTTAAGCATATATAATAGATAATAGCGTTCTGATAATCTTCTGGTAATTGTGGTACTTAGATAGAGGAATATACATGATTCATTCTCACAACTTACTAGAGATGGCAAGAGTGATGCTGATAGATGTAATACTTTAACTTAACCATAAAACAGTATTAATCGTATGAGGGACTGTTCACATGATGCAAAATCTTACATGTGATAGCCAAGTACTCACTGGGTTTTTACAGAGTAACTGAGTATTGACCTCACTCACCGAATCGAGTAAAAGGCTCAGCTACTCACCCAGCTGAGTAACCCACTGAGCGAGTGAGCCGAGTATTGAGCGAGTAGTGCGCGCCTAACGAAGCTGCAGCAACTGTTTCGTTAAACTTAGTATTCCGGAAAACTAAGCAAGAGGGTGGTATGTTGTTTATACACATACTCGCAGGTAGTCATGCTAGGCTGGAGGTTGACATCCTCGAAAGCCTTCATCTGGAGCAGGTGGTTGAGCTGGGCCTGCTGTTGTTTCGGGTCCATAACATGACCCACGCCATATTGTTGATTGTTTGTATGGGGTTGTTTTGTGCAGTTGTTTGTTTGGTCGTTTGGTAATCAGCGAATCACGAAGGTTACGTATAGTATAACCAAAGCCCAACCCCTAAGAGATAACAGTGATTGTATTTGCTATGCTAGACTATATACGAGGCCGCAAAGGAAACTAACTTAAGGTTTGGGCCGCATAGGGAAAAACTAGCTAATTCGGGCAGAGACAAAAGAGGCCTAGCCTAGGTGTGCAAAAACCTGGGGTTTTAAGGACTTCTATTTGCGCAGAGATGCAGTAATAAATAGCGGACAGGAACAGACTCAAACAGCATTAGGGTTAAAGAAGCACCAGGTTGGGAACACAGAAGTTTTGACTGTGAGGCATTTGACGTGGCTGAACCACAACACTCACAGCAAGCAGGCCATACCGGCTCCCTGCGCAGAAGCGTGACGGGTTGAACCGCCAACCTTGCTTTGTTGAGGTATAGTCGGCCCAACTACACCATCACTCCATAAGCCTGACAACACCGAGACATTAGATCCTAAAAAGTAACTTACGCAATCTACTCGTGTGCTATACTTTAAATCGCCAGCCCTG